TCCACCCAAAGTGAATATATATCCACTAATGAACTTACTATTTTTGATTTCTGAACACCATGACATATCAAAATAGCTATCCATAATTGAAGGATAACCAGAGTAGTGTAGAGCATAATCTTTAGTACCTTTAAGATATCTCATTAGCCTATCGAGGGCATCCTAATGCTCTTTACTAGGGTCACTAGTGCAACGACTCAGAATGCCAACTGTAAAGGCTATGTCAGGTTTAGTGCAACTTGCAGCATATATGAGACTTCTAATCAGTTTTGAATACTTTAACTGACCCACACTGGTCCCTTCACGAGGACTCAGTCTTTTATTATAATCATATGGTGTCTCACTCAGTTTGCACTCACTGTATCCCCAGGTAGAAAGTAGCTGCTCAATATAATGAGTCTGGCTAAGGGAGATAACTTGCCCATCAAAGCTTACTTTCATACCAAGAATGGTATTAGCAATACCAAGATCTTTCATGTCAAATTCTTTAGCTAAATCAGCTATCATGTCACTCACTACAGAATGATCAAAGCCAAGAATTAACATGTCATCCACTAGTTGTCTTTACATCCATTTGATGCACTACATAGTGTTCAATAGATGTCAAAGCAAAAAGAATTCTTATAGTTGATAGATGGCACACAGGTGAATAGACATAAAAAATAGTCTATTTCACTTTGTTGTCTATAGCCTTTAGCTACTAAAGGTGCTTTGTATCTGGCTATCGATCCATCACTACTCAATTTCTTCTTCAGTACCAACTTATAACCTATAGCCTTATCCTCTTTCAGCAAATTGACTAGCTGTCAAGTATGATGACGCAGCAGAGAGCTCATTTCATCATCTATGGCTTCTGCCCACAATAGAGATTCCCTATATCTCATTTCTTCTTGATAGGAGAATGGATCATCCCTAGATGGTAAGTGACAAAGTCCTTGCCAAAGTCTTTGGGAACTCTCTTTCTCTCATAGATACTCTAACTGGAACTGATTCAACAACCAGTTATGTGTAGTTACTGTCAGAAGGGTTCAAATTCTATAGGAGATTCTAAAATCATATCTGTAGATCCAGAGACACTCGAGCCATGATCTTTGATAAACTTATTCTCAAAGGATTCTGCATCTCTGGATTCTATCACCGCATGTGTAGATAGATCCAAAAACCTATTTGCAGCACTGTCTTCTACACTTCCCAGGTATATATAAATAATGGTTCTAGGTCCCACCTTAGGTCTCTTAGGATCTTGTATTTTTCCATAAGCAATACATCCCCAAGTCTTAAGAGTATCATATGTACAAGAACACTTATGCCATATCTCATAAGAAGTCATACACAACTTAGAGTGCGACAACCTATTCAAGATGTGATTAGTAGTTAGAAATGCTTCTCCCCAATTGGAGGAAGGCATGCTATAACACCTCGTATTTGTGAAACATATATTTATATATTAAATGTGGATTAAAGGGTAGGATTAGTGAAAATCCTAAAATTAGGGTCAAAATATAAAGGAAGGGAAAACGGTAATTCGCCAAACACGTAACCCTAGGAAAGTAAAATTTAGTAGGAGCTCTCAAATGGGAAAACTAACACTGAAAATGGATTCAGAATGAAAAATTGAGTGGTTAAGCAAGTTTCTGGAAATTTGATGATAGTGTTTTTACCAGTAAAAATATTGCGGTACAATTGCATCGTAAAGCGTACCGAATGAATTTTGAGCTCTAGATTTGGATATAAGTTATAAATGGTACATAGGACTAGGAAATATGATTTCGGGTGAAAATTGATGGAAATTAGAGTGTTTGGGGAAGCATGCCATAACGACTTAAAACTGTGATTTCTCCGAACGATCGGAAAACTCCGGATTCATCTGATCAAGTGCAATTAAATGACAATGGTTAATGTTGAAAATCTAGAGCTTTCTCCTCCATTGGGTGGTTGGTGGCGGTTTTGGACCATTCAAGTGTTGAAAATCATTCTTGGGATGCCTAGCAGTTGATTGGTGGTAAGTTTTGTCCTCCATTTTTGGTTTTGAATAGGATTGGATTTTGGTGACCTAAAGCTTGCATTCTTGGATTGAAGTAGTTAGAGAGCTCAAATTTAAAATGTGTATTAGATAAAAGTGGATTAGAATGATGTTTTAGAGTGATAGAAACCATAAAAATTATTGATGAATTATTTGGTAACTTAGGCAATTTTGAGGTGGATGTTCATGACTTTGTGAAATGACTTGGTTGTAGGGTTGTGTAATTGAGTTGTGGAGTATTTACATGAGTTAATTATAGGATTATATAATGTGTGGAAATGTGAAATTGGATTGAATACCCCTAGGCATGTGACCATGAACAATTCGGCCTATTGAGGTCAAATAGGGTTTGATGATGTAAAAATTATATAATTGATGTTGTGTGATTGTGAATTGTGTTTAAATGAGTTGTATGTTGGTGCGGTGAAATGGATTTGGAAGGAAAAAAATTGGATTTGTGTGAGTGTGTGTATTCGGCCATTTAAGGAAAAATTAGGAAGAATGGTGCTAGGTTGATATTAAATTGAATTAAGGACTTGAATGAGTGTTGTGGTAATCTTGTGAATGCATAGGAACCTTGAAATAAAATTAAGAAAATTGTTTGGTAATTTTAGGCCATATGGTCGAAGCTTGTCTTGTGGGGAAGGGATTTTTGTTGCTTTGTAATCTTGTTGGTTGCACCTTGTATTACTGATCCTTGTGTGATCATTGTAGGTTCCCTCCCACGGACGTAAATTCGGAGCTTTGAGCTTGGTGGGTTACCTTTGGTCCTTGACCAAAAGGATTGTGGTAAGTTGTTATGAATATATACATGTGTACTTTAATAAGCATGTATATGTCTTGGTTGATTGTAATTGAAATGGAAATGGCCTATGTGTAGGCATTTCTTGTGAACCAAGATCGGGAGTACTGTGAGTTGGAGCTACCAAGAGAGGGATATTTTATCAGGTATTCCTTGGTACTTGGATTTTATCTCCGTGTGTGCTCCACCATGCCCCTTGAGGGTAGTGGTTGGAGGTGTATGTTAGTAGTATATTATAACATGCTCATGCATTTTGTATGTATAATGGTACATAGGATGTACGGTGTCTCTGGCCACTAGACTATTGCCTTCTGGCGTTACGGACTTCTACTGGATAGGTCTCTATGAGGGAGTTCCAGTTGACATGGGGTCGTGGTGTGTATAGGGCAGAATATTTTTACACCGGTGTAAGAGTTAGAAGTCTTACACCCAATCTTGACTATTGATTCACTTGTATCCAATGGTTCACATTACTAAAAAATTTAAGCCCTTAGATATAAGTGGAATTAACGGACAAGATTAAGAGTGTAACTTACACTGGTGTAAAATAATTCTGACCATATATATATATATATATATATATATATATATATATATATATATATATATATATATATATATGCAGCAATTTGATTGTTCATCCTAAACGTATTAGTTGGAATTTAAATTAATAAAATGTTATTTATATATAGTATATATGCAGCATTTTCATTATTCGTCTACCATATTAATTAAGGAAACAGAAATAAGCATCTATCCCTGATTATGAATTTTTATATACTTAATAATTGGAATTTTGCGAACAATGTTATTATTAATTGTGAAAGGATGGAATTATTTAAGCATACATATTTGCAAAGTGAAATTCCATCTCAAATGGAGCCTCTCAGATTAAAACTTTTTCCCCTCTAATTTGTATTCCTTGTAGACTTATGCAAAAAGGTCATGCTAAAATGCCATACAACTTTGTCACAAGCAACCAAATGATGGTAGCTCAGTTGGTGCCAAAGAACTGAGTAGGTGAGGGTGAGAGCATGTGTTCGATCCTTTCCAAAACCGTCTTTGAGAGGGGTTTAAGTCAATTCTTAAGCCCGGGACCTCTTCGAATCGGACTAGTCGCGAAGCGATAAATCAATTGTAATATTCAAAAAAAAAAAACTTTGACACATGCAAACTGAGAATTAGTTGTTGAATAGTAATGTTAAGAATGACTGATTGTAGCATGTAACATGCAAATTTTTGCCCCAATATATGGAGGAGATCCTAATCGATGACACAAACAACACCCCAAGAAGATGTATAATCCGCTCTTGGCATTTTGTACATTCAAAAATAAAATAACTAAAGCATATCTTTACAATAAAAAGCAAAATTATCACCCTATCAAAAAGAGGACATTATTTATTGTGGTCCGATAGCACCATTTTTAGGTGGTCCCTTAGTGTAAATGCAAGGGTAAAAGTGGAAAAGGGAAAAATTAACAGGGATAAAAAGGGAAAGAAAAAATTGATGTTGTGAAATGGAGCATCAATTATTGGGTGGTCCTGGAGCATAAAAAATATTTCTCAAAAAGAGGGGCTAATATTGTATTTTCTTCTCAACCTATTTCACATCAGACTCGCCGTACTAATTCCATGCTATTAAGCTCTTCCATACTTTTTAAGATTGGAAGCAGAGGAGGACGAAGTAGTCTTCCTATTTGTTTTGTTTTAGATGTGTTCCACCGCAAACATCTTTCTATGCAAGGATTTGGGAAGTGCATACTAGTTATAATTACAAGAGCAACTTAATTTATGTTAGTTATTCGATTAAATATGATTTCATAATGCAATTTCATTCCTGATATTCTTATCTATCATAAAATTATAAAGTTCTAACACTTTGAGGCAAGCGGAAAATGTAAACGATACCTTTCAGAGATAAAACATGATCTTTGTGATAGATAATGATAGATAATGTTTATCATTTCTGTTATTTCTGTTATTTTCTTTTCCCTCTTTTCCCAACTGCTATATATAGCAGCACATGTATCCCTTTGCAATATATCAATATACAATAATAATTCATTCAGTCTTCTTCTTCGTTTTCTGTTTTTCTTCTTCACACCGTGTGTGATTTCTTCTTTAAGCATCAAGGTCTGATACCTCCCATGGTATCAGAGCTTTTCAACGATCCATGGCATCTCCTCAATCATCACCAAGATCATCTACAAGCTCCAAAAATGCAAAATCAGTGAAGCTCATTATGAAATCGTTCTCAAACCCAATTGCAGACAAACTTGATGAAGACAGCTTTCTTCCTTGGGAGCAATTGGCTCTTGCTTCCATCCATGGCCACAACCTGCAGGATCATCTGAGTGAAGAAAAGATCCCTACCCGTTTCTCTACCCAAGAAGATAAAGATCGTGAAAAAGAATCAGAAGGTTATGCAACCTGCCATCAGCAAGATCATCTTCTTGTGTCCTGGCTGCTCTCTTCCATGAACATATCCTTCAAAAACAGAATGGTAGGATGCAAATTTGCTCATGAAATCTGGACAAGGCTGCAAGTATACTTTGCTTCTCATACACAGGCAAAGGTCAAACAATTGAAAAACCAGTTGAAAAACATCAAGAAAAAGGGACCAGCATCAGACTACCTCCTTCAAATCAAGAAGATCATTGATTCTTTGGGTGCTGTTGGCTCCCCATTAACTGATGCAGAATATTCAGAAGCTATTCTTGATGGCTTGAGTGAAGAGTACACTCGTTTAATCACCTTTGCAATGTCAAGATCCCCACCCTTTTCCATAATTTAGTTAGAAGCCTTTCTTCTTGCTCAAGAAGAAATACTCGAAAAGTTCAAGAAAATCGATCCTGTTCCCATTCAGGCCAATGTCAAACAAGCTACTGCACAGCAGGGAAACAGATTCAATAACAATGGAAACAGGTTCAATAACACTGAAACCAGGTTCAACAACAATGAAGGCAGATCTTTTGGAGGAAGAAGAGGTAGAGGAGGCCGCGGGTTCAGAGGTGGAAGATCACAAGGTTCACCTTGGAATTCTTGGAATCAAAATCGTTTGCAATGCCAAATCTGTGGAAGGTTAGGACATCCTGCTTTAAAATGTTTCTACAGTTTGACTCTAACTACCAACAATCATCACAGAATGTTTAGAATCCCCAACATCCTCCACCTCCACCTCCTTCATTCCACAACCCCAAGGCATATATGGCAGGACCAGCATCACTCACTGACAGCTCTTGGTATCCAGATTCTGGTACCACTCATCACCTCACCCATGATCTTGGTAATTTTTCTTCCAGCTCTGAGTATAATGGCTCTGAGCAAGTTCAAATTGGAAATGGTACAAGTATGCATATCCATCATGTTGGCAATTCTGTTCTAACTTCACCTGCCTCTCCTTTTCTTTTTAAACTTGATAATCTGCTATATGTACCTTCCATAACCAAAAATTTAATTAGTGTATCTCAATTTGCTAGAGATAACAAAGTCTATTTTGAATTTTTTCCTGATTATTGCCTTGTAAAATCTCAGGTAACTAAGGACATTGTCCTCAAAGGCAAGCTTAAAGATGGTCTCTATGAATTTTCAAATGTATTAGTTAATAACAGCCCCTCTGTTCCTACACCCCCTATAGCTTTGTATTCTAAACATGTTTCCTTTGATCTATGGCACAAAAGATTAGGTCATGCTAGCTCACAAATTGTTACATCAGTACTACAACAATGTAATTTTCCTGTTTTTAACAATAAAACTGCAATGCCTCATTCTGTTTGTGAAGCCTGCTGTATGGGAAAAATTCATCAGTTACCTCACTTTACTTCTACCACCACTTATGCTGCTCCTCTTGATCTCATTTTTTCGGATGTATGGGGACCAGCTCCAATGCTTGGCACCTCTGGAAGCAGATATTATGTTTTGTTTGTGGATGCTTTCACTCGATATAGTTGCATTTATCTCTTGCAAAATAAATCTCAAGTTTTTCAAACCTTTTTGCAATATAAATCCATGATTGAAACTCTCACTGGCTTAAAAATCAAATCAATTCAAACTGATAATGGCAAGGAATACTTATCTAATGATTTTCTTCACTTTCTGCTCACTCATGGCATCACTCATAGACTTACCTGCCCTTACTCTCATCAACAGAATGGTAGAGTAGAAAGAAAACATAAACATATCACAGAAGTTGGTCTTGCACTCTTGGCTAATGCCAAACTCCCTTTGTCTTTTTGGGAGGATGCTTTTTCCACTGCTACTTATCTAATAAATCGGTTTCCCTCTCCTGTTACAAATCTAAAATCACCTTTCGAACTGATTTATCACAACAAACCTGATTACAGGTTTATGAAAGTTTTTGGTTGTGCATACTTTCCTTTACTTCGACCTTATAACAAACATAAACTTGATTTCAGATCTCACAAGTGTCTGTTTCTAGGATATGCACTCAATCAAAAAGGATACAAATGTCTCTCTCCCACAGGGAAGATTTATATCTCTCGAGATGTTATTTTTGATGAAATTGATTTTCCCTATTCAGTTTTGTTTGCTAACATTACTACTATTACATCCTGTACATCTCCTCATCTTTCTATTCCTAAAATCCCTTGCATCTCTAAGCATACTACATCTCAGAGTTTACCTGCTGTTCCTATTACATCCTGTCCATCTTCATCACCCACCATCTCACCAGATGCTACTAATGTTTTGGTTAGTCTTTCTTCTTCAGGTTCAGCACACCAGTCACCTCATCACATTCCCACCACCACAGCAGTTGCCAGCTCTGCTTCCATCTCTAGTCAGAATTCTTCTCCTCTTAATTCACATCCTATGCAAACCAGAAGCAAGTCTGGCATCTATAAACCTAAGACATATGCCACTGCCCTCCAAGACTCCTCATCAGACCTTCGGAATTCAGAACCTAAGACTGTCTCTCAAGCTTTAAATTGTCCTCACTGGAAGCAAGCTATGGCTGAGGAAATTCAGGCCCTCATCAAAAATGGTACCTGGACTCTTACTCATCCTCCACCTCACATCAAACCTATTGGCTGCAAGTGGATTTTTCGCATCAAGAGACAACCAAATGGCACAATTCAAAAATACAAGGCTCGTCTTGTTGCCAAAGGTTTTCAACAAAGAGAAGGCTTTGACTTCAGTGAAGTTTTCAGCCCTGTCATCAAGCCATCTACAATTCGTCTCATTCTCTCCATTGCCCTCACAAATGGCTGGATTATCAGACAGTTTGATTTTAATAATGCCTTCCTTTGTGGTACCTTACAAGAAGATGTCTTCATGCAGCAACCTGATGGAGTTCCTAGTCACAATCCTCATCTTGTATGCAAGCTGAATAAAGCCCTTTATGGCCTCAAACAGGCTCCTCGTGCTTGGTTCAATACCCTCAACCTTACATTACAAAAGTTCGGTTTCAACAGCACCAAATCTGATCCCTCCTTGTTCACCCGTTTTACTTTGACAACAACCACCTACATCCTTGTGTATGTTGATGACATATTGGTCACTGGTAACAACTCATCTGAAATCTCCTCTCTTATATCTCAACTTAACATCATCTTTTCCCTAAAAGATCTAGGCCACCTTCATTATTTTCTTGGTTTAGAAGCTGTCTACACCTCTCCCACAACCATTCACCTTAGCCAAACTAAATATATCACTGATCTTTTAGACAAAGCAAAAATGAATTCTGCAAAATCCATGCCCACTCCAATGCTCACAGGTCAGAAATTATCTATGGAAGGTGACATTGCCTTCTCTGATCCCACTTTGTATAGATCTATTGTTGGTGGTTTACAATATGCCACTATCACTAGACCAGATCTTTCCTATGCTGTCAACAAAGTAAGCCAATTCATGCATAAACCTCTTGAAGTTCACTGAAAAGCTGTCAAAAGAATTCTAAGGTACCTAGCTGGAACCAAAACCCATGGTCTTATCTTTCATCAGTCCAAAGACCTTCGGTTACTTGCTTTTTGTGATTCTGATTGGGGGTCCGATATAGATGATCGCAAGTCTACCAGTGATTTCTGTGTGTATCTTGGTTCAAACCTTATATCATGGTCAAGCAAAAAGCAACATGCAATATCTCGATCTAGCACAGAAGCTGAGTTTCGCAGCTTGGCATCCACCTTAGCAGAAATCACTTGGTTATAATCCCTCCTGTCTGAGCTTCATATTCCTTGTACTGTTCTTCCAACAGTCTTCTGTGATAATGCCAGCACTGTTATGTTAGTAGAAAATCCAGTTCTTCATAATCGAACAAAACACTTCGAACTGGATCTTTACTTTGTAAGGGATCGAGTAATTCAAAAGCAAGTCTTTGTGCAACACATTCCTGGAACAGAACAAATTGCTGATCTTCTCACCAAGCCCATATCCGCTGCCATTTTTCTGTTATTTCGGAACAAACTCAGAGTCTGCCCATTGCCACTGAGTTTGAGGGGGGATGATAGATAATGATAGATAATGTTTATCATTTCTGTTATTCTGTTATTTCTATTATTTTCTTTTCCCTCTTTTCCCAACTGCTATATATAGCAGCACATGTATCCCTTTGCAATATATCAATATACAATAATAATTCATTCAGTCTTCTTCTTCGTTTTCTGTTTTTCTTCTTCACACCGTGTGTGATTTCTTCTTTAAGCATCAAGGTCTGATACCTCACACTTTGATCAGATGACAAACCCGTGATACCAAAAGTTGCTTCTGACAACTTTGAATAATGTTGCATTTGGTTAGTTTTTTTTTTTTGGAAACTGATCCTAATTACTTCTTTGAGGCGAATCAGAACCTTGCAGTATCTCCACGGGTTCGACTCTTTGAGCCGCCTATGGGACTAATCCAGAGTTCGGGTGCGAGTCCAAGGATTACGGTACTTATGCCCCTCCCCAGATGGTGTTGGTAAGATTTGAACCGAGGTTTTCTAACACCACTCTGTCCCCATGCTACCAATTGAGCCACTACACTTGGGTATTTGGTTAGTTACTTTCGTAGCCTACTTTATTTGACTTTTTTACACTTTAATAAGTTTTCATTGGCTCATTGCATCCTTATTCTCTTAGTATCTCACGGCTGGATATATGTTTCATGAAGATAAAAGTGCCTTATGTATTAAACAAATCATCAAGTAAGTTAGATAATACTTTAATAACTTTTCCTACCTTTGTAGATTTTTAAAGTTCACAACCAAAAACATTTCTCCATTTAATCTACATGCAATCAGCCCACACAAGAAACAAAAACAAGGAATCCATCGCGTACTTCATGAAGAAACAAGACAACTTCATCAAATCATGTAGGAAAAAGACAAATTAATAACTAGTCTTTTAATTTTTCAACTACCTTGACTTGACAAACTAATTTCCTATTGGTCATTTATATTCCTTCAAAGACTTTAACACCAACATCCACGGCTATATATACGGCAACATGAAGACAACAATTTACTCCATGTAGAAATTAAAACACCAAGACAACTTAACTGACTTTATTCTAACTTTTTAACTAGTCATTCTTTACTAATTAATATTCGGCTGGACATACACCAAAGACAAGGTATTTACCAATTCTAGTAATGAAAATACACTTAACTAGTCAACAAATCTACTTTTGCTTACTTGTCATTACTCTTCATGTAATCTTTTATCTCATTGGTTTATAATTTACTAAATATAATTAGATCAATCCAGGACATCTTTAAAATTCTCTAAAGAATTTAATTAAACTATTAAACTCAAGCTTAGGCCTTAATTTTTCCTTTTTTCTAATTAGTCCCTA